TGCTGCACTTAAGACAATCCTCCATGCCTCTTGTGTGGAGAAACTAGAGTGGCTCTAAAATCTTTTAAACTGAGATCATGGTGTAAATCAATGCACAGGCATTGTAATAAAGTGTTTTATTTGACCAGATGAATATTCTGTGCTTTGTAAATGAAAAAAAAATAAATTGATTTTTGTTAAAAGTTTTTATGATTTTTTTTTTCTATGGGAAGTTTATACCTTTGACTACCTTTATTAACTTTATTAATTTTTTTAACAAATTACTGCACTGCAGTGATCACTTTTTATAGCAACAAGATGTTTTTAACATGATTGTAGTGAACTGAACTCTATCAGAAGCACTTTCCTCCACTCATACACAAAATGAGCTTTGTATCTCTGTGTCCACTGCTATACCTGGCTTTAACCCTATGCAAGGGATGAACTTACAGCATAACCTGCACAGATCTGAGTTCAGAAGAGGGGCCAGTGTGTATGACATTGTTTTCTGAAGCTGTGTGCTGGTTGTGTCCTCCTGTTAGGTTATAAACCTCACTGTAATCACTTTGGGTTGTACTTGTACAAGACTTACACACTCCATGGCTGAGTTTTATGAGTAGTGTTCCAAGATGCAAGTTCCTGTGAACAGAATAATATTTTTCTAAAACTCTATCAGCACACAGAGTGGAAAACAAACCACTCTGCTTTATCTGTACTTCTCTGTAGGCTGTGCATGGAGAACAAAATTGATGAATACAGTCCTAAGTTTACAAAAACATAAGGCAGTCGTTTGAATCTCTGCTCCATGACATAGTGGAGCATCTTCTTTCATCTATTTGCTACATTAAAGACATTCTTTATATTTTAAATATCACTTTCCCCTCTCAGGCATGAATGGAGAACTAAAGCTGTTTTGTAAACAGCTTTGCTGGATTAGAGTTATCTGGAGTTGTATATATCCGACAGTGTACAGGGAAACCACTCAGAAGATCACTGAATTTTTGTTTAAGACAACAGCCCAAGGGCATCTCAACATGTGGAGATTAAAAGCAAAAATTACACTTTTATCAAATCCAGCAAAATCTTGATGAAGGTGGAGCACAGCCTCCAGCCCTGGGCCCAGCACAGCAAGGAGCTGGAGCTGCTGCAGAGAGCCCAGAGGAGGCTCCAGGATGAGCAGAGGGATGGAGCAGCTCTGCTGGGAGGAAAGGCTGCCACAGCTGCCATTGTTCACCTGCACAGGAGAAGCTTTGGGCTGAGCTCAGGGTGGCCTTGCAGGGCCTGAAGGAGCTGCAGCAAAGCTGGAGAGAGACAATTGCCAAGGGCTGCAGGGCCAGGAGGCAGGGAATGGCTGCCAGTGGCAGAGGGCAGGGCTGGATGGGATCTTGGGCAGGAATTGTTCCCTGGCAGGGTGGGCAGGCCCTGGCACAGGGTGCCCAGAGCAGCTGGGGCTGCCCCTGGATCCCTGGCAGTGCCCAAGGCCAGCTTGGACATTGGGAGCACCTGGGACACTGGGAGCTGGCCCTGCCATGGCTGGGGTGGGAATGGATGGGCTTTATTGTCCCTTCTAACCCAACCTATTCTGTGTTTCTATGATTCTGTGAAATACACTCTTGAAAGTCCACGTTCTTCTCTTGTTTTTATTGCTTAGAAAAAGATTGTTCTGGCTTCACTGGAATAATTTTGCTGTAATTCCATACTCACCACTGCTTTTGACCATGGCATAATAGAAGAAGGGAAAGTGCTACTGTGGCTCACCTTCTCGTCTTCCTTGATTTCCAAGCCTGCCTTTACATACAGTTTTTAATATGTTATTGCAGGCTGGTTCTGTAGCCCTGTCATCCCCTCCTACACATCTAATCCAGAGGATTACAATTTAACTGCTAGGCACTTTTCAATTTTCGTATTAGCCAATGTGTAAATTGCTGGGCCACATATTTAAAATGCCTTCCATCAGCTCCCAGCCACATACATGGAGTTCTGCTCCCAGGAATGGGGCAGAAGAGTGATTTCCAAACCTGGTAAAGCAATCTGGGAGCAATTCCACCTCCATGCATTGCATAAAGTGTATGCCCTGATTCACTGAGAGAGCCTGAATGAGAGTCTGTTTCTCAAATAACTCTAACAAAGCTCCTGCAGTCCAGGTTGAGCTGTAGAGAACTTTCTGCATCTCGATAGCTCCACACTGATCACATTCCTGTGCAGAACTGGGACGTGCCAAAGTCCCATTGGGATTTTCTCCTTTGCCCTGCACTGCCCAGCTTTTCAGTGCTCAGAATCTGGCAGCTCTGTGTGCTCTGAGCTTGTGTAGCTGCTCCTCACGGGGCTGTTTCACTCAGGGGGGGTTCATGGCATGGCGTGTGCATTGCTAATATTTCTGATTTGCTTTGGACTTGTTTGCCTTAAGGTATTGCTGAGCACACAGCTACCGTGAGGACAGCCCAGTCACAGTGAATCTTCTGTATTAGTGTGAGTGGATAGCACCTAAATTTGATTGGAGTAAATGAAGAGTAACAAGCAGGAAGTCTGGGGGAGGAACCGAGGAGGGATGCACTGAAATGAACTTAATGCTTTCTAAGGATTAAGAGTGGCAGTGTGAAAACCAAATATCCTGTTCTTTCTTCAACCAAAAACGTTTCTGGGAGCTTCCTATTGTTTTAGCTCATTTATTTAATTTCTTTTAGAAGGCAGGCTGTGGAGATTAATTAGGAATTGTTTTCAAAAAGCTTCTTGAATATGAAAGGAAGTGCTTTATTATTATTTGGTCCTGTTGATTAAAAGAACTATAGCAACTTATGATGGAAGTGTAAGGAAGTCAGTCATGTCCACTTGGGTCCTTTTCTCTGAGAGGTTTTTGGGGTTTATGTACAAAGTGATTTTTCACCCAGAAACAGAGTCACACTGGAAAGGGAAGGGAACATTATATTTTGCTCTGTTCAAGCCCTAAAAAACACCCTTAAGTTGTGTTTTCAGTTTCTGCGCCCCATTTTGAATTTAATCCTGGATATTGAATGAAGATGCTGCCTCTTGCTCTGTTTTACAGTGGTTCTGTTTCTCCTGTGTTTTGTTCCTTGCTTCATTGAAGAAATCAGAAAAATCTTTGTCCTGGCAGGTACAGGCACCCACTCATCCAATCAGACGTAAAGAGGATCCCATTTGAGCAAATCCAATCACTTGGCCTGCAAGTTTGGCTGTTTCTCTCTGGATACCTTCTAGCACCAAACACGCCCCTGGAAATCTCTGTTTAACAAGTGCCAGAAAGCAGCAGTAAACTCCATTTAATTCCCTGCACTGAAGGGGCTTTTCAGAGGGTGGCTGATACATCCCATCATTAGACTGTTTGCTCCTCTTCCTTTTCTGGCACTGAGAGAATGTCAAGACATTTCAAGCCTCTTTTGCTTCTCTCACATTTTCCCCAAAACTTTCTTGCAGGAGCTTTCTGTATTCTCTGATTCCTTTATTTTCACCCCAGTTGGCAATGAGGCCTATAAAGCTCCAGGTTCTCCTGTAATGGATATTCCCCTCATTCTGGATGCATTGTTAAAGCCCTGCACTATTAGCTCACCATTCTTCCATGCTGCTTGAGAGATTGAGTTTCACTTTGGTAGCAGCTCCTCTCTCCTTCTAACAAGACAAGTTTCTCACAGTTTCAGGCTTTCATGCAACAGATTTCACAGTTGCTTTGGCAATTACTGAAGTTTAAAAAAAATACTTTCTACATTGTTTGCTTTTAAAATAACAACTGATTTTTACTGGTCATGTAAAAGGTGTTCTGCGTGTTTTATGCCACAAGTGTGTATGAACCTTAAAAAAGAGCAACAAAGCACCCCCAGCCCCCCCAAAAACATCAGCTAAGCTCTCAGGATTTTCATAAACACGCATCACTAGGAATTAATCTTAAAGTAGAAGAAAACCAGCCTAAAACGCAGTGTAAGCTTAAGAACAGGCATTCCTACTCTCTTGTATATAGTGGTTTCTCCTGAGATTGTTTGGCTGTGAATCAAAGAAAATGTATCCAGACTCTTTTCACATAACCCTGTAATGCAACCCTTCTCTCTGAGCCACATCCCATCGAGTTTTCCGTCTGATCCATGGCTGCATTCTGGGTTTGCCCATCCTTCTGGCATCAGCCCTGCTATGTTAACTTGCCTTTCCATTTCAAGGAATATTTACTCTGAGATGAAACCTGCTGTGACCTTTTAGTACATCAAAGGGTGGGCAAGGAAAGAAAGACAAAATGCTCCCAAGAGTCCATCTAGGAAAATGGCTTTGAAATGGAATGTGTTCTCTGAGAGTCAGGGGGACACAGTGAGACCTGGAGTGCAGATGTGCATAAATGAGTTTCCTTAGATCCTGATAGTGGTCTGGTGTGGGAATCATGGATTTCACAGAGGATTTAGCAGTGCTGTTTCTCTGGGCAGCGGTGCTGCTGCAGAGAGGTGATGGCTAAACAGACAATGGCTGCTGGAGCCTTCTACACTCAGGAGAAGTTGTTTTTTCTTGTGGAGGAAAGGAGCATAAGAATGCTCCTTTAATGCATCAATGCTAATTAATGAATAAGAACATGATTTTGATTTGCTTATATGGCAGATTATGTGTTTGTAACTGGCCACATTAACAGTGCAGGCTAGTGAGAAGCTTGGGAGTTTCTTCAGACCCTCAGATGAACTGCAAGATCCCAGAATGGTCTGGGTTGGGAGGGACCTTCAGGATCCTCCATTTCCACCTCCCTGCCACTGGCAGGGACACCTTCCACTAGACCAGGTACTGCAAGCCCCACCAATTCTTAGGCCTAAATATTTTCCTAAGTGTGTGTAATCATTCATCTGGGTCTCCTCTGTCATTTCAGGCAATGCAAGAATACACAGAATCAATTTAACTGTGCAATAATATTACGAACTAAAAATTCAAAACCATAGCGTGGCTTATTTATGATGTAAAAATAAATAAGATGCTTCAGAATGCTTTCCTAAGCTCTTTAGTCACTGATTTGAACTTTCTTCTTTTCTTTCCCCCACTAGGAGTCTTTAATGACTGGAAAACTCAATGGATCATGTTTTTATCATCTAAGCTATTTTTACATTGACTGTGCTGTAAACACATGGAGGAGCTGTAAGTAAATGTTCTGTACTGCGTGATGAATTGGATTGCTACAGTCTGGAGGAAAGCAAAATAATAATTTAATTTCTGTGGTAATTTGCGTAGCTGGTGGTACAATGCCAGAAAGACTAACGGAAATGCTTATGGATACATGGACTCCATTAATAATATTATGGATTACTGTCCTTCCTTCCATTTATATGGCTCCCATGAATCAATCTCAAGTACTACCAAGTGGATCCAGTACAGGACTAAAAAGGCTAAATGAAGAACAAAGAGTTTTGCACCGTTCCAAGAGAGGCTGGGTTTGGAATCAAATGTTTGTATTGGAAGAATTTTCTGGACCTGAACCAATCTTAGTTGGCCGGGTAAGGCAAGATTTGTTTTTTTTTTCCTATGAATGCATAAATGTATGACATAAGAAGGTCTTCAGTCATTTGGACTCTTCTAAGGAATTTCAGACTCAGGTGCTTTGTGGCTCTAAAATAGTTCTCTAATATCCATAGATTTGTGCTGTAAATGTGCCTCACTGTAAGGACATTGTTTCCTAGTTAGCCAGCCTGCTATTTCCAAGAAAAATAGGCATATTCCATTTGTCAAAAAACCCCACAAGTGTGCTCACATCCTTTCTTTTGTAGCATTAGTCACCACTCCTTACCTCTGTCAGCTGAAGATTTTTACCAAAGCAGCTCTTTGCAATGTGTTCCTGTGCATTCCTGAAGGTTGTTACACCTATAGGTCATGTTCTATCTCCAGTCTGATGAATCAAGTTGCTAGTGCTCTGAGGATTTTTAAAAAACAAGAACCAAAAAGGAAAGTGTGGACTGTACAGCAGATTATGGGGTCCTAGTGTATGTGGAGGTCTGTGCACACACATGGAATAACGTTTTTGCCATGGATTTTGTAATTTACTTTCAAAGTTAGGAAAATATTGCACAGGGCAAATGATCTTATTTTTCAGTGTCCCAGCTTTTCTGCTGCCCTAAAGCTATGCTTGTTGCCATGCATTAGTTTATTCTGTAGCTCAATGTGTTACCTCCAGTCAATGAATCAGCCTTGCACTTGTATGAGCCATCTGTATCCATCAGGGATGAATTATCCTTAGAATTATTCTTAGAAAAGAATGATCTGTTCACAAATGCATGTTTGGCAGGGAGCAGGTATAAATAATTGTTTATCAGTAAAGTTCAGTTCCCTCTGAACAACCAAGTGCATTATTGTCTTATTAGCTGGTCACTGGGGTTGAGTAAAAAAAAAATTTAGACAAAATTATGGATAGCAGTTAACTTCACAGTAATCTTGGATTTTTTATGGCTAAGTGGATAGCATATGGTGTAATAAAGGGACTGTCAATAGCTCCATCTATTACTGAAGAGAACACAGATCAAGTGCATTCCCAAATCTTCCCCATTGTAGCCACTTTCAAGGCAGGACTCGGGGTCAGAAGGTGTAATGAGGTTTTTATCCAGTGACTTTTGGTGCTGTGTCAATTTACATTTATATCAGGTATTTGGTATCTGTTCTCATTTGTTTCTCTGGGGTCAGTAACATATCTCAATTTCACAGAGACAGCAAAGTGCATATTTCACATCTTAAAATGTTTTATTCAACCCATTCTTTCTGGAATATTTTAGTTGAGCTTCTAAAATTATTTTGAATAGCTGGGGAGAATCCTGGGTTTGTACTTTGTGGTATTTTGATTTTCAGGGTATATCCAGGTCTAAATATTTCTACTATTTAAAGGTATTTTTGGTGGTGGTTATAATATCCTGTTTGAGTCATTGGTGAATAGAAGTGGGTAGGTTAAACTAAGCCAAACCAAGGGAAGACATTATCCCATCTTCTGCTGGTATTTTAAATAGAATTAGCTAAAATGCTGTGACAATCTATTTGTTGAGACTGCTGCATAATTAAAACACTGCATGTTATAGACGGAAATGAGCAAGAAGCGAAGTTTGTTCCCATAGGGAGAAATTTTTGGTTTATTCATTAAAATGTCTTAGAATATTTTTGGAATTCTTCTCTCTATTTTTTCTCCCTCTACAGAGAAACCATCCGTATTTCTGACTTTTTTTTCTTTCCTAAGGCTGGTGAGTGTTGTGAGAGAGCTTTCAGGCTGGTGTGCAGTCGCTGGGAGCAGAGGCACTCCACAGCTTTTTCTTAATCCTTCCTGCCTGGAAAGCAGAGACTCCCTCAATTATACCTCTTGGCAATCCTTCCCAAAACTTAAGGGTGTACAGACTGTCACCCTTAGCAGCAAAATGCTTTCCTTTTCCATGAAGCTGGGCTGTGGTTTGTCCTCTGTCACCCTCATTGGTTTCTTATCCAGAGCAATTTAAAAATAACCTCCCTTTCAGAACTTGCAGTAGGTTTGCACTTACCTGGTTCCTCCTCCTGCCTTTTCCACTTACACTCTTCCCTCCAGCCTTTTGAGATTTTCCCCTGCCAAAAAATTTGCACACCTGGGGTATCTCCTTTGTTCTGGGACTTTATTGACTGTTTTATTTGCCCCATGACTTACCTCGATTCTCTCTTTTTTCCTTTTTTTGCCAGACTTTGAATGAAGAATGGTCAGCAAAACAGGCAATAGTGAATTAGTGCAGAGGGACTTAATGTTGTGAAGAGAATATCAAATGTCTGCCCCATTTTTAGTGCATTTTCTGTATCTAAATGTGCCTTTTTCCTTTTACAATCAGTATTGTTTGCCATGTGCTTTTTATGTGTTGAAAGTTCTAGTATAATCTTCAATAAATCTTTTATTTGGTGGTTAATTGCTTCAAGGAGAACATTCCAGAAACAAGTCTAATTATGCAGATCTTTGTAACAATTTTTGTCTCTACGCTGTTGTCGAGTGTACCTGGTGCTTTTCATAGTTGTGTATGTTTTATACAAACATTTAATTAGGTGCTTTGGAGAATAAATACAGAAATAAGTTTTGCACAAACAGAAACGATATGCACACAAGCAGAGTTTGTTGTATGTTCTCAAATGTACCTTTAAAACCCACTGAAAATTCAGCTCTTAAGAATTCTCAGAATAGAACTGATACTTTAATAGTTTTTATGTTAGTGGGTGGAAAGGCACTGAGTGGAAGTATTTGGTCCTAATGGAATTGATGGAATATATCAGCAAAATGAAACTGAAAACTGAGAATAATTTTATAGGATACAAAAAGAACACAAATCTATTTGTAAATAAAAGCCTGAATGCAGAGTCTGAGAGTTCCTCCTGTTGGTTGGAAAGTCTCCTACCAAAGTTTGTGAAGTGCAGAGAAATTTAGCAAGACAGGATTACAGAGATCTGCAGTATTTTATATTAAAACTGCTCAGTTTTTCCAGAGGAAACAGCTTCCAGACTCTTCTCCAGAGTTTGAGGTGTTGCAATGCAACTGCACACACTTCAAAGGTGCTTGTTCATTGCTGTTCTGCATGGATATAGAGTAATAAATGCACTCCCAGTGTATTTGCTCTAATAAATGAAGTAATCTGGGGTGAGACTAATAGGAGGAATTAATGTGAACACCTCTTAAAGTGTGGTGTCTTCCTTCAATGGCTCGAGTAAAGGACCGTAGCAAATCTTTTGCTTTCATTCTTGAACCTCTTAGAATGAATTTGAGCAATATGCACTTTTAATGACAATTTTTGTCATTATGTTTGGCAGGATCAAGCTCAAAACGAGCAACTCTACTTGAGCTCACACATCTCTAAAGAAGAGTATCCTGAATTTATGAGATTTCTCTATAAAATGCCACAGATATTCTAGTTTTTATTTTACTTTTTTTTGGCTATGTTCATATTACATTTATTTTGCCACGTGGTATATTGATAGAATTATGGACTATAATATCCTGTGTTGGAAGGGATCCCCAAGGATCAGCCAGTCCAGCTCGTGTTCCTGCACAAGCACCCCAAAATCCCAACCTGTGCATCCCTGGCAGTGCTGCCCAAAGGCTCCTGGAGCTCTGGCAGCCTCGGGGCTGTGCCCATTCCCTGGGGAGCCTGGGCAGTGCCAGCACCTCTGGGGAAGAACCTTTCCCTGATCTCCATCATAACCATCCTCTGGCACAGCTCCATGCTCCGTGTCCCTCCTTTGGACATTCTCTAATAGCTTTAGATCATTCTTATTTTAATGAGTCCCATATTATTTTGATCTGTGCATGTAAAAATGCATCTGTGCATTTTGAGAAACCTGCAAAGTAACTTTTCTTGTGTTGATGCAACACAGGTTAAATGAGTTTGGGTTTATTCCCAGCAATAAAATACCGAGCGACAGATTTGCAATCACCCTTTTTGTACTTCATTTCTTTTTCTCCCCCTTTCACCCACAGAAGCAGGTACTTTACAAAGCTTCTGTGTCTCCTTTAGAACCTCCCCATCCTGCACTGTGCTGTCAGCAGTTTGCAGCCTCCCCGTGGCTGACAACCTCATTCAAGTGTAGAGTGATATGTCTTGTGACACCGCATGCTGTCCCTGTGGACTTGATTAGTTAGGTAGAACTTCTACTTGCTATACACTGCTGCATCTTCTCCATCTCCTCTGCATGCACTTACAGCACCACGGCAGATGTGCTGTGAAATCTGGGCTGTAGCAAATGCCACTGTTCTTTCACAGGAGACAGCCTCCGAATTCACAATGACATTGGTAATAAAGTGAAAAAGCATTAGGAAGCTGCATTTGGGGGATTGCAGTTCCTGCTTTATGGAACATGTGTTGTTCATGATGCTTTAAATGGGTTTAATAGATGTTTTTAAGCAAAAATCTGGGATAGTTAATGTAATAGCAGTTTGTAATTAGAATCATAGAATGTCCTCAGGTAGAAGGGATCCACAAGGATCATTCAAGTGCAGCTCCTGTCCCTGCCCAGACCCCCCAGCAATCCCCCTGGGCATCCCTGGAGCGCTGTCCAAAGGCTCCTGGAGCTCTGGCAGCCTCCTGCCCATCCCTGGGGAGCCTGGGCAGTGCCAGCACCCTTCCTGTGTCATCTCTCCAGCTTGTTCCAGCCTGTCAGTACATCCTGGGTGCCCCATCCATGGTGCAGAATCCAGAACCTGTTTGTCTTTGTTAAACCTCACAAAGCATGGAGAGAACCAAAGAGGGAATGAAGGCCACAGAAGTTGCTTGTTTGTGTTCATGTTCTCTGGCTTACCAATAAATGAATCCAAATTTAGGTCCAGACACAAAAATCCAGCAGCACCAGTCACTCAGGTTGGTGCTGTGTCACACCACTCCACTGGCAGTACTTTCCAGGCTGTACCAGAACCTCCCCCAGACTTTCTGGATTTCCCTGTCTCCAGTCCCAAAATAACATATTGCCTGTTTTGTCTGAGGAGAGGTTTGGGAAGTGAGCGAGGCAGGGAAGAGCAGCCCCT